ATGATAATAGTTGATTTTACACAGTGTTTATTTCTTTTTTTTTTGCATTACAAAATATAAATTTCAGAGATTTCTTGCTGTCCAAAATTTTTCGAGGTCGTCCGTAACACCGTAATTTTGACTCGCGTCCGTAACAAATTACGGGCAATACGTAACAGTTGGCAGGTCTGCTCTAATGCGCTTTCATTTCATTACTATTCATTGCAAAATAACCTTTATCCCGAGTTGCCATATAACATGCATATATACTCTTAACGTAATTGGGAGAAATATAAATCTTATACCCACGAATTTTATGCTTCCTAATGTGGCAAAACACGCACTGTATTTTGTGACAGCTACTACAAAAAAATATAGCTAAAATCATCAGATAAGTCCAATTTCACAGATGTTGGTAAATTTTATACTACATACCAACTACATTGTGATGAGGACTGAATGGTTCAATTGTTGTCTGTTCCCTGTAGCTGCGGAAACCTTGAATGATCACCTAAAATGCAAGTGTAAATTTTTTTTTTACTGACAGAACAATTTTAGTAATATGACCAACATCATAAATTAAAAAACTTGTCTGTCACGATATATCTACAAAACCATGTTTGCAAAGATGCGATATCACACACTTAGAGATGTTACAGCCACCACATTATACAAATATGTAATAATCACATTGGTGTGCAAAATTCTGAAGGGATGGTGTAGGAGTAAGGACAGGACTGTCGGTAGACAGTCGGTTGTTGTAACTTTACTTTAAATAAATCAAACCACCAATTATCAAATATACTTAGTTATATAAAACTAGTTTACGTTATCCCCGAAGTTGATCAATAACATAACCATGTTTGTTGCTTATGCCATGACACAGACGGACTACCAGATTACAAAATCTACACCTAGTAGTAGTAGTCAATATGACCACAACACCAGAAAAAAATGGTTAATTTCGCACCATGGTAGTATTGACTACCGGTATTGCCTGGTACAGTCTGACTCTGAGTCTGATTGTATATTTGTTGAGCATCGACTAAGTTTGGCACGCACACTTTCGCACCTAACCCATACATGCCAACCTATTTTGAATGAAAAGTGGTAGATCCGCGTGCGACGCAGTCGCGCGCGCCGCTAGGGGGGTCTGGGGGCATGCC